CATACACACACACACACACACACATACACACACACACTCATACACACACACACACACACACACACACACACTTACACATTAACACTCACATACACACTCTAGCAGTGATTTAACGTTACGCCCTATTAATCCAGCCATTCAAAGGTTATTACAGAACATAATGTTACACGTACTTGCTCTCTCATTTACTTCGACGTCACACAGTGTAAGGGTTATTCCCCGGTAACTGACGGGATATGTGGACATATTTCTTTACATTGATAACACTATTACTGTATATCATTTAATTTGTTTGGGTTTTTTTTTAAACTTTAAATGACCCGAACTTTTGAAACAGAGTAAATGCAGTCATTTGAAAAAAAAAATTACATTGTGCAAATTCCGTGATGTTTAGTTTCGGTTAGTGACGGAACAGGACAAATGCCTTATTTTTTCCGCCAAGTACCAAAACTAAACACTTCTCTGAATTTGCGTTAATTGAGTACTTTTTTTTTCTTCAAATGACAGCTTTTTATATGATTCTCAATATGTTTTTCAAATGTTCTGATCGTTTAAAGTTGAAATGAATCAATTGTATTGAATTGCAGTGTTATCAAAGTTAAAAAATATCCCCCAAAAAACCCGTTTGTTATCGTGGAAGAGCCCTGATTTCTTTCAATGTGCGTATATTCTATTTCACTTTAAAAATCCCTATTAATAACTTAAGAAAAATGTAGACTGCGTGGGAAATACTTGGAATATTATTTATGCATTAAGACTCGCAGTGTTTTTAAAAATCTCCCTGAACATAATATACTTAGCTTTGTGAGTTGTGTCTTGATATCAAAACAAAGGAAGATGTACAAATCAGCATTCAGATTTAGTTAATGTATTCACTGCAATGTCAAAATTTGTTTTGGTTCAAAATTGTCTTGAGGTAGCATGTGTCTGAAAAGTATCCAAAGAATGCCAACTTATCTAAACGGCATACGATCTACCTGAGGTGTTTATGTTTTGACAGCGTACAAAACAATACCTGGCGGGAACAATAATATTTCAAGTCTCCCCCCCCCCC